GTGGCACAACCGATTGTATATATAAAATGTAAAATAGCATCATGATGCTACTTTACCAAATTTTAAATCTATGCATAAATTTGATTTAACATCAAAATAGTTTTGTTTAGTCCTAAGTCAGTTTTACCTTATACCTTCAAAATAATATTCTGTTACAAATAGGAAAATACTGTAAATAGTTCAACATTTAGGAAAACAGCAACAAACCTTGTTGTGTACATGAGATGACTTTATTAAGCAACACAGTATTTTTCTTAACATTCTAAATTTGGCCTAACTTGTCTCACATGTGCAACTAATAACATGCAAATAAACATCCTAATGAGTAAAGGCAACCAAAATGTGTTGCCCTGACTGGCCTGTTGGAACACAAACTAAAAATAATAATAATATATATATTTTTTTCTAAACTGACAATTTAGACCCAAATTGCAAACCAAAATGATCACAATCTGATAATTAGTGTTAAATCAAATTGTTAAAGAGCAAAGCTGTACAAAACTGAACAAACACTGTTGCTTTATTTATTTTTCCTTTCCGAAACATACTCCTTTATGTTCAGCTTTTCAGAAACCGAAGTACAGCTGACCAGTGCTTCTAGTTGTTACAGTGTGAGCACAAATTTATGAACTACTCCACTCTTTCTTTGTTCATGTTTTGCTTCTTCCCTGTAAATTTCTTGTAAAATGTTATCAAGGGCGCCAGTGTTGCAGAGTGGTTGATGATGTTACATAGAGCCTGGCAGAGCCAACTACAGAACCCTGCTACTTGTGAATCTGAATGTGAATCGTTGTCTTTTTTATTTGTCAGAGTGCACCCTACATCCTGCAAAACGACAAGCCTAAACAATATAATCATTTAAAATGAGTGGTAGGCTTTGGCCCTTGATGAGATGATATGTATGCTTTTTTCCTTCATGTGCTGGAGGACAACTTGTTATTCATTGGAGCCTTTATCGGAAAAGGGATGGAAAAAGATAAGAGGTTGTAAATTGAATGTAGCTTCCTGGTTTACGAACTCCAGGCAAACGTTAGCCCAACTTTCATTAGCTCACTGGTCAGATAGCGGTCAGCTGTGGAGATGAGTTTTTCACTGAACTGAGGCAAACAGACAAAGTTTTGTGACAGGGCTGCTGTTTCCTGTGCTGACAGTGGGTTTTAAACTGGTGATAATTTTCATGTGCACAATTATTTCATTAATAACTAATTAAATGTGTGTCTGCTTTTAGCAAAATGTTAATTCATTCTGTGTTACAATATGTGAACTTGGAAGATGGACATGGAAATATTGAAAAAATAATCATCATATTTTTGTAAGATTTTACTTTTTCTATCTATATTTTGATGCTCAAATGCACAAAAATATAATTAACACAGTGCAGTTATCATTGCAATATTTCCAAAAAAGCTAATTAACCTTTTCTTGTTACTGAACACCTCAACCAAACTTGGTTGCCAAAAGACTCATATTCATATTCATAATACATCAGTGATGTATTATTTTATTGTTTGTTTGTGTTTGGATTTCATTGAGATGAATTAAAAAAAAACGTTAGTAATTAAACTGTTTTACTATTACATGTTGGTCCCTGAATTTAGAAAAACATGCAACTTAAAGATTAATCTGTAGTTATATTTTTCTTTGAGTTAAACCTACTTTTCTGTTACTTTTCCTGCTCTGAAAATTTTTTACCAGCATAATTTTTGTAATGACATTTATAAGTTTCATGCATTATTTTTAGCAATCCAACCCCATCATTTATAGGAAAATATAATTTTAATTGTGTAGACCTTTTTAGCTCAGTTAAAAAAAAACGATTTCACATATAATCATAATTAGTCTGAAACAACTTAATCTTATTTCTGTTTTAAATAAGGCATAACAATTTCAGATTATTCATCAAAACTTGATATTAATCCTACAGCACAGGTTTTTGACCCACATGGATGTGAATTGAAAACTAGACCAGATTTATATATATATATATATATAATTATTATTGTTTTAGGATTATTTGTGGTGATTTTTTTTATTTTATTTTAATAAGTGCAGTAAAATGTTTTGGATCCTAATTTCATATTTACAAACAAAAAATCAATCCTTGTTTTATATAGAAAGTAGGCTATAGTTGAAAAAAATGGTTAGAAGGTGAAACACAGTGTTATTTAATTTAGTTTATCATATTTAGTCATTTTTTGTTGTTGTTTTGTATATGTAAAAAAACAATTTGTTTAAAATAAAGAGGACAGCATTTTTATTATTGAATCATGACAAACACGTTTGATGATGGAAGTGTTTTAAAGATGTAGCTACTGACAAATTAATGTATTCATTTATTAAGGAGGCTGCAGTGTGTTCCCTTTAAATCACCTTTTCTTAGTTTTCTAAAACATAATTGCTGTTTCACCTCCATCCTAAAACCCAGCCAGCTACACGAGCATCAATGCGGAGCTTTCTGACGAGCCGATCTAGGTGATTTAGTGTTAAAATAACAGCTCAGCACGTTTTTGTGCTTATGTTTGAGTTGTTTGTGCAAGTTCTAAGGTTAAAGGATGATGACGATGTTGTCCCTGAGCGCCTCTTGTAGCATTGACTTTACCATAGTTCAGCTGGTTTGCTTAGGGAGAGGAAGCAGCTGCATGATGCTTTCACTCTCCTGCCCCTCATCATCATCCGATCCCTGTTAATTGTGAGTTCGCATGCTGGCACAACAGTTTACAGACTTTATGTACCTGTCTTTGAGGTAGTGGTGTGTAAGTATATTTGATTTTTTGCGGGTAGGTTTTAGGTTTATCTCTTAAGCATATGAGAGGTTTTATTCTTACATTTCTTTGCACAGTTGAGGTGTGAGCACATGTTTGCCTGAAATAATATTGGTGTGAAAGTGCTTCCACGCTACAAAACAACAGCGATGAGGATTTTCGTGCACAAGTGTTTTGTTTAGTTATTTCACAGTCCCAATATGAAGTCTGTTTATTAATAGTATTTTACCAATAACATGTTTTTTTTACGTTTATTATAGAGAAATTGTACAGAACAGTTGAAAAAATACATGATAAAGTGAATAAGAACTTCTTAAAACTATGCAACAAACCACACAGGATTAAACTTAAATAGCCACGACTATATGACAAGTGATGGTGCTCAAAGAAGATCTTTTTAGAACGGCATCATTTCTGTGTTTATGTTGAGTTGTACTGCGTGTCGTGTCATATATAATCATGTTTACCTTTTTTTTTCTCAATAGACTTATTCTGTACTGCAAAAACTTTCATGTTTCAACTCGTAAAAAATATATTTTTAGAATAATAGTTTTGACTTATTATGAAAATGAACATCATTGAGCTTTGATACAAAAAAATTGCCTAACTTCAGACCTATTTTTTAATTATTATTTCATCAGTCAGTCAAGGCTGCATATACTGAGCCAGATTCTGATGGAGGTTTCTTCCTGTTAAAAGGGAGTTTTTCCTTTCCACTGTCGCCTGTGTGCTTGTTCAGGATGGGAGGTTGTAACAAAGTGGAGATTTGACACAATCTGCTGGCTTCCTTGGATAAATAACTTTTACTAATTGGCATTTGATGATGTATGTGATTGAGATAACATGTGATGCAGATTGGCATTATACAAATAAACTGAATTGAACTGAACGATTAGGGAAAAAGCTGAGTTTTCAGCAACAAGTAGTGAAGAGTTTACACAACACAGCACTCAATGAGAAAAAAAACAGCACTCAATGAGAAAAAAAACAGCACTCAATGAGAAAAAAAAATCTCATCATCTCTGACATCTCATTATGAACCTTTCTTTTGTTGAAACCAGAAACCAGCTTGTGTCTATAGTTAATTAGTATTTGCTTCATTCATTTACTTCTTTCTAAGGGTTTTCACTCCCACATTAACAGCAAATATCACATCTACTGATTTATAAAAGAGCTTAAAAATCACAGCAAACCTAAATTCATTCAGAAAGTTAGTCAAAATTCAAAGATAGCAAGTCATTGAAAAACCTAATTATATACAAGGTCCATTAGCAAGAAGCTCAAGGACAAAACACCAACACCCAACACAGGATATATACAGTATAATACTTATAGGAAACTAGACGGAAAAGTTGCTTCTTTGAGGACAGAGGCAGATAAAAACACCTTTGTGTGATTTCCTGATTAACTTTGAATTGTTTCAGCTTTGTTAAGAATTTCAAACTTCAAAACTGTAACAAAACACTATCCTGTCTAACTCTCAAT